CTGGCTCCAAGGCAGTGGCACAGGGCAGAGAGCATTCATTCATGGCGGTGAAGCAACAACAATGGCAACAGAGAGAATCTGTCTCTCTGTCTCTCTTATATTGTATTTAGGCTCTTTGCCTCAGGTTGGGCATAGCACTCACACCCATAATCTCAGCAGTACTAAGAGCTATAATCGCAGTGGATTACCCATAATACCAGTGGATCATGAGTTAATCTCAAACTCTAGAAGTCCCTGCCCCATGATTGCATGAGGCTTTGGGGGGACAATTAGACACAAACCATAGCACTGTGTCTTTCTATTGAGGACTTGAAGCCATTCCTATTGAGAGCTATCACCGAAAAGTATTGAATTACTTGTCACGGCATTATTTTCTTGTTGCTGATTCCTTTTTCTCTCTCTGCTGCTTAACTGCTCAGTTTACCTGATGTATTTATTACATTAAACTTTTGGCATTGTTGACTTCATTGTGGTGTTTGAGGATATCCTTGAGAACTTTTTGAGTTTTGATTATGAATTTCTTCTCTTTTCCATGGAAATATCTTATTTTTCCTTCAATTTTAAAAGATAGTTTTTCAGGATGTCAATATGGGGTAGAAGTTACTTTCTTTTAGGGCTTGAAACATTCCAATTCAGGCTCTTCTGGCCTTTGAGGTTTGTGTTGAGGAGTATGCTATAATTCTAATGGTTTTACATTTACAATTGATTTATTGCTTTTCTCTATCAGCTTTTAAGATTCTGTTCTTGTGTTGGATGGCGTTCTGGATTTTGACTATGATATTTGGAGAGGGAGGTTCTGTTCTAATCATGGTTACATGGGGTTCCATATACCTCACTTATCTGTATATTAAATTCATTCCCTGTATTTGTAATGATTTCTGCTATTATATCTGGACAGGTTTTTAAAGCCATTTGTGTTCTTGTTACTCTTAGATTAGTATTATTATTTATCATGGATCCATTTTCGATGTTCTTTTATTACTTTTAAGGTATCTTTGGGTCTGTGATCCTTCACCTGCATCAGCCCTGCCTTCTAGTTCTGACATTGTCCTCACATTGGTAATTTCTACTGTCCATATTTTGATTAGAATTTTTATGTCTTGAATTTCTGTTTAGTTCCTTTTCATGTGTTCTATTCTTTCCTAAAGTTGTTATTCATGCTTCATATCATTTTGTTTTTGTTCAACTAGCTCATTTAGTGCCTCTTATGATCATTTTGTTAATTGTACTATCTTTTTAGTTTTAATCTTCTTTAAACTTGCTGAGTATCTTATTAACCTTTTTATTTTTGATTCGTTGTCATTTTGTATAATTCAGCTGTTTGATTTTTTTATTTCTTTCTCACTGATGCCCCATTGATCAACTGTGGAGGAGTTGGAAGTGTTTGGAGACAATTTTGCTACCTTTTCATATTTCTGTTTGTTTCTTTTTCTTTTTATTTATTTATTTATTTATTTATTTATTTGTGTGTGTGTGTGTGGCCAGCTCAGCCCACCAGGGGGCGGGCTGGCTGGCATGTGGTGCTGGGGGATTGAACCGCGGTCTCTGTGCTTTGCTAAGCTTGTTCTAAGTAGGTGCTTTAGACCACTGAGCCATCTCACCAGCCCCATGTTTGTTTCTTTTTCATGCAGTGACATTCGCAGGGTGATGATAGTGGAATGATTTTGTTGCTAGCATGGAGCTCTTATTTAGTGTCTGCGTTCTATTATTGGCACATTCTGAATGTGGCTAACTATAGACTTTTGCCTTTATCCCAGGATCTGACCACCTCTATTAATTTGGGGAGAGCAGGTACAGTGTGTAATTGGTCCAGTATCCAGTTCTTCAGAAATGAACCACAGTATTGTTGATGACACAAAGGACAAACTAGATATTGATATACAGTAAAAATTCATTAATATCAGCAATTGTGTTACTTTGACAATAGCTACAAAATCAGCAACAACAATAATGTCTAAGACAAACTAGATATAGATATAACATAAGAATCAGTGGGCATTACTATAAAGAAAGAGATCTAGAATTATAACTTCAACACAAAGCAAACAAAATATTGACATACAGTAAATATATACAAAGTACAGCAGCTGTACTATTAGTGATAGAAAGCAATTCAAAGATAATGATATAAAGTTAACTAAATATTTTAAAATTATAAGGCTTAATTTGATATCAATAAAGATGGATTGGGTGGGGAACAGAACAATGAAAGAACTAAAATTTGAAAAAAAAAAAAAGAGGCTTATGAGACAAAGTATCCTAATAAGGAGTAATAGAATATTAATAAAATTAGACAAAAATAATAGAAAAGAGTGAACAGGAAAAATAAAAAATAATAAAACAGTAAATAAAGAAAAGAGAAAAAACCAAAAAACCACAAAAACTAATGAAGAAAGGGCAGGCCAGATAGCTCAGCTGATTAAAGCACCTGCTTAGGCAGACACAGGGGCCAGGGGTTTGATCTCCAGCCTTCTGTGCTGTCCCACCCCTGGGTTGCACTGAGATGGAGATGAAGACTGGGCATAATGGTGCATGCCTATAATCCCAGCGCTTGGGAGGCTGAAAACAGGAGAATCACTGAGTCCGATCTGTGTAGTGAGACCCTGTGGACCCTGTACTAAATACATAAAAAAAACTAATGAAGAAAAGGGGCTGGTGAGATGGCTCAGTGGTCTAAAGCACCTACTTAGAACAAGCTTAGCAAAGCACGGGGACCGCGGTTCGATCCCCCAGCACCACATGCCAGCCAGCCCCACCCCCTGGTGGGCTGAGCTGGCCACACACACACACACAATTAAAAAAAAAAAAGAAAAGGAAAGGAAATAGGTGACCCCCATATCCCTCTTTTTAAATGTAGACTAATTTCCAGATTCTGTAATATTGAGCTCCACTAGATATGGTCTGAGGGATATTGAGTCATTGCTAAGATCTATTTTGTTTCCACGCTGACATTTTTGTGAGTGAAAGCTGTATTCTGCCCTGCATTTCCAGGTGTGTGTGTGTGTGTGTGTGTGTGTGTGTGTGTGTGTGTGTGGTAAGTCAGTGATTTACTCTGGCAGTTCCAGTTTCTGTTGCCCCAAACCACATATTTCTTTATGGCACATGGGTTTGTGAGGTGTCCCTCACTGCCCATTCCAGAGTTCACTCTGTTCATATGCCTTAGGTTGTGGCACCCTTCCAAGCTAAACCATAACCATGCTGAGGTTCATAGAAGGAAAAAGCAGTGTAGGCAATGGGATAGAAGCTCAAGCAGACCACTGGAGTTAATGCCAGTGCTTTCAGACCAATTCTCTTCTGAAAGCCACACAACCAGACTGGGTTCTCACCAATGAGAGTGGGACCACTACATCCTTCTTGGCCTAGTGTAAACTTCTCAAGGGTCAGATCAATGTCCACCCTATACCCTCTCCATGACTATTTCTTATGGCTGTCTCCCACCTAGTCACTATGGTAGGAAACTCTGAAGTGTTGTTCTGTAGTTGTTTTATAGATCAGTCTTAAACAATTAGCTCCTTTTCAGAATGACTCCTTATTGAATCTCTGATATAGTCATTGTAGCCCTGGGTTTCTTCTCCAACTCCAGCCAATCTTGAGGAAGGAGTCAATTTCAGAGTAAAACCCTAAGTTGTTTTTTTGTAGTTTACAACAGTTGTGGGCTTTTATTGGGACTAGCACTATTGGCTTAGTCTGGAATTTCTTCTGAGGCTGGAAAAACACTCAAACAAGAATAATATTTTATAGCACACAGAAATTACATAAAATTTAATTTTGTTTACAGAGTCAAAGTTTCATTAGAACAAAGTATACTTATTCACATATCAACTGGTTTCTTTAGCACTACAGTGGCAGAATTAAGTAGTTCCAAGAGAGACCACATGACCTGCAAAGCCCGAAATACCTATTATAAGACCCTTTAAGGAAATTTTGCCTTCTTCTGTTCTACATAGGCACCTTGGTTTTGAAGTTAGGGTAGAAGGAAAAATGGGCAAACTATTAAGCATTGTACTAGACACTTGGTGTTGATTAACCTCTTTACTGTCCCTCCTCCAAATTGAGGGGTCACATTATTTCTTTTTACAGAGCAGGAAAATCATTGTATCCAAGGTCACATAGTTAATAATTGGAAGAAATGTGTTATGAATATGTCCTGTGTGGTGTCTGCAAGTACCTTGGACAGTATATCCTACAGAGTCTGAATTTTCTTCTCCTTGATTGAGTAATTTGGTTAGAAAATTCCACATGTGTTTTAACTTCTGACCTGAGGTGGCATTTCTCAACCATGTTATGAGAAAAGGCCAGGATTCCTCTGTCCCTGTTGTGTTGAAGTTCTTGATATTAGAATAACTTTCTGGGCTGTGAGTGTTTTTCCCAAAAGTGGGCACATTTAGTTGGATTCTCAGGTGTCTTGGTCCAGGGAATTCTCATGGTAGCTTCCTTGATGCTTGCCTATCCTTCTCCAATCCATTCTGAGCCCACAGTGTGTCCTCACAGCTGGAGTAGAAAGCCTGATGCTTCGTGTGGGGCTCAAGTTCCTATGAAGCTTGGGAAAACCATTTGAAAATATATTCTGTTGGTCTTTAATTCATCCTTGTTGTTCAGGCTTACAAGGAATGGAAGATTATATCTTCGTTCACACCTTCAGCCTCTGACACCAGAGTTGGAAACCGGCCACTTATTGAAGTGCCTCTGGAGAAGCTGAGCTCTCAGGCTCGGTCCCTCACAGTGAATCCAGAAATGTATAAGGTAAAATTCTACCATTTGTCCACTCAATTATTTGACATGGACCTGGCAAACAAGATATTGAAGAGAAGATGGAAATTAGAGCTTTGCTTTTGGCTGGTCTTTATATCAACAGAAGAGAAAGAAGTATAGGAAACAAAAATATCATTGTTGGAAAACTCCCTTTTTTCAGCAGAGAACTGGGCTTGATGAGTGGGATGCTGTTTGAAAGTGGAAGGGGAAGGATAGTACCTTCTTTTCACCTTTGGAACTCAGCTATAGCCAAAATTTTATGCCATCTTGAAATAGGTCTTGAGTAGTCTAGTCTTAATTATAGTAGACATGTACGACTAGTTTAATTTTTAAAAATAAGTCACAATAATTGTGTAAAATGAACCATTGGAGTAAAATTAGTGAAAGATACACTATCTTTGTAACTTCTGGTAAAGCTATGATTATTTCAGACTTAAAATTTAAAACAATTATAGCAGATTCAAATGGGTAACATTTACTTGCGTTTTTGGAGGGAAAGGGGTGGAATTTGTTATAACCTCATTAGAGTCTCATTTATTTGTTCTATACCTACTGAGCACCTGGTGTCTTCTTCGTATCTGTGCTATACTTTATAAAATTTGACTTTAGCAGTTTTCCAAAGTCAGAGCAAGGCTAATAAAGTATCATGCTATAGCTATGGGAAAAAGGCTTATAGTTTTGCCCACAGGGGATTGAACTGGGGATTGAACTCAGAATGTGCACTTGGCAGGAAGGCACTTATGCTGCTGAGCTATATCCCTAGCCCTAGGCTCACCATTTTTGTTCTCAACTTATCCTTAGCTTCTTAATGGAGAACTGAAACAGCTGTATACTGCTATCACAAGGGCTCGAGTGAACCTCTGGATCTTTGATGAAAACCTGGAGAAACGAGCTCCTGCTTTCAAATATTTCATTAGAAGAGGTTTTGTCCAAGTTGTGAAGACGGATGAAAATAAAGGTAATGTTTCATTAAATTATTCCTATAGTTGGAGAAAGCATGTTTCTCTCAGTTATTCCTTTGGTAAGGTATAAAGAGTACACTTTGTTATTTTGTCTTTTGTGGTGCTGGGGATTGAACCCAAGTCTCATGAATGCTACCACTGAGCTATATTCTCAGACCAGGGAATAGTCTTTTGAAAGGATTTCTCTTTCTTTGCACAGTCTTGTGAGAAATGAATATTCTTGCTGGTTTGTTAAGCTGTATGGAAAGGGTGGGTTGTAGTGGAGTGGGAGGGTTAACACCTTTGGAGAAGATTTTTTTTTTTTTTTTTACTTTAAACTGTGTTTTTGAACAAAGGTTAGGAAGGATATAAATTGCTATGAAATTTTTGATAGTTGATTTGCAGTTCCTATGAAAATAAAGATAGCACAGTCCAATTTGTATGAAACTAAAATCAACCTGAGTGTCCAGTAGAGAAAAGCATAAATGTATGTCTTTCAGTGGAATAACGTGCAACCATTAAAGAGCAGGTGGATTTCCATTTAAGGCTGTAGAAAGATGTTCAAAACATATCCAATTCAAAAAAGCAAACTTTACCACAATATAGATATTTTAAACAACTTTATATTATACAATTATAAAAACTATATATTTATAAACCAGAATAAAATGTTTGTACATGTTATATGTTTTATATATACAAATATCTATTTAAGTGTATTTACCAAAGATAATTCAATTCCTGTGTTTGTATATCAAGAATTAAGTTTGTAAGAATTTGATAATGAGGGATAATAGGTTGTCTGAATCTGGTTGTTAAATTTCACAAAATAATGACCAAAGATTCTAGAAGTAAGAAATTAATGAGAATCTGTATCCATTCATTTCATTATTGTGGGTAACATAGGTTTATATAGGGAGAGTTTGGAGATACAATAAGTATTACCTATAACATATTCTGATTCACACTATTTGTTGTCTTACCTCTGGCACTTGGATTGGCAGGTATAAAGTTGTTGAGTAAATATGGACACCTTTTTCTTTCACCTTTATGCCTTCTGTGCTTTTCGTAGAGTTTACAAAATGATAATTTGTCATTTTTTTTGCATAATTTACTATCTAATTTTAAAAAATGAAGTGAAGATCTGAAGGTTAGTTATTGAGATAACTCCTCTAGGCTTCCCAGGGTAGTAGTAACACACATAGAGTTAGATTTTTGATGACTGTCATTCTTTCAGCCATAGGAAGAAATCTTAGTGCTATTTCAATTTGCATTTCCCCAATGCCTAGAACTGTTGAACATGTTTTCATATGTTTATTGGCCATTTGTACTTCTTTCTCTGAGATGTACCTTTCATTTCACTTGCCCATTTCTGACTGAGTCTTTTTTTTAAGGAGTATAATTTTTTTGAATTGTTTTTATATGCTAGATACTACTCTTGTCTGAGGAATAGCTGGCAAAAAATTTTCCCCATTCTGTAAATTGTTTCTCTGGTCTATTTTTCCTTTGCTGTGCATATTTTTAATTTGATATGATTCCACTTGTTGGCTCTCACTGTTATTTCTTGTACAATTGAAATTCTGTTCAGAAAGTCCTTGCTAACCCCTATGTCTTCAAGGTTTTGCATATTTAATCTTCAAGTATGTTAAGTGTTTCAATTTTAATATGTAGCCCAAAGGGCCAGCCAAATAGCTCAGTGAATTAAAGCACCTGCAAGGGGCAGGGGCAGGGGTTTGATCTCCAGACCTACTGTGCTGGCCCCGCCCCAGGCCATGCTAAGATAGCAGTTAAGATGGTGTGGTGGTGGGCGCCTGGAATCCCAGCACTTGGGAGGCTGTAAACAGGCAGATCACTATGAGTCTGATCTAGTAGTGAGACCCTCAACACCCTGTAGACCCTTCCCTAAAAAATACAAAAAACCAAAAAAAAAAAAAAAATGTAGCCCTTTGATCAATTTGGGTCATAGTTTAGTACATGATGAGAGGTATGGATCCAGCTTGAATAGGGATAACACGTTTTCCCAGCACCATTCGCTGAAGAGGCTATCTTCCAATATATATTTTTGGCCCTTTTGTCAAAGATCAAATATTGGAATGTGTTTGGAATTTCTTCTGCGTCTCCTGTTCCGTTTCATTGATCTACATGTCTGCTTTGTACTGGTATCATGCAATTTTAGCACTAGCCTTGTAGTATAATCTATAATATTGCGATGCTTCTTGCTTTGCTCCTGTTGTCTAAGATTGCTTTTGCTATTTTGAGTTTTCTGGCATATGAATTTTAGGGTTGTTTTCTCTAATTCTGTGAGGAATGCTGTAGATATTTTGACTGAGATTGCATTAAATCTATATGTCAATTTTTGAAGAATGGCCATTTTGACACTATGAGTTCTGCTTATCCAGGACTAGGGGATGTGTTCCATTTTCATTTTCTGGATGCATTCGGTGTCCTCATCAATCTCCTTTTCAGAGTTTGTCAGAGTGCTGAAGTTTCATTGTAGAGGTCTTCTACCTCCTTGGTTAAGTTAATTGCTAGATATTTAATTTTCTTGATGCTATTGTAAATGGTATTATTTTCCTAATTTCTTTCTCAGTGAGTTCATTATTGTTGTACAAGAATGCTACTGATAGGGCCAGGGAGATAGCT